AACTACAAAATAATCTGATAATCTAAAACAGAACTAAATAATTCACCAATTGTTCTAAGTTCAAAAGTTCACATTGTAATGAAAACATAAAAACTCATTACGTTTTATTGACATTTTTAACAGATGAAGCATACTCTTGTTAGTTTCTCTATCGTCATTTGTGTTTTGTTTGAGTTGATCAAGGCAAACCAATTGAATTTATTACAATTAACAAACAAACTTGTAGTTAATATCCTATCAATCATTTTAAATTACCATAGCTGACTATAAATACATCAAACATAATTTTCAAGACTAGTTAAGTTTGAAAATTAAAGTAGACATAAAAACTAAATTTAATTCAGCGATCATTTAATGTTGATGAGTTTAAACGAAGAACATTAATAATTTTTTTCATGTTGATAGTTTAACGAAAACACTTTACAACAAGACACCATCATAAATTCTTAACTGTTTTTTTAAAATCTTTTTTTTCCAAATTACAACGAAATAGTTAATTTTTTAACATAGAATACTTAGGAGAGAAAAAAATACACTGAACAGCAAAAAGTGAAGAAGTCATCGAACTGTTCAACGCAACCTATCAAACAAACATAACGAATAGTATAGGTATACATATTATATTTTTTCTAATCTAAGCTATCAAAATCTAAGCCAATGATTAGCTTTTTACTTCACTTTCTAAACGGCATAAAACTAATGTTTAGTACTTTGATGATGATTTTCTTTGTTTGTAATTCTCTTTATTACTGATGTGCAATTTGAAGCTTTTTTTCATACAAAGCGTCATTGATACTTTCCAAGAGAGAATTTGAACAGTTTATCAGGTATGGATCTGAAAGGCTCTAGCTAGCTTAAATATTTTTTATTGAATGAAATGCTACCTTATTAGCTATTTAAGATTACTGAATGAATTTTTTTACAATAAATAAAATTATGTTTTTTTCGTATTTACTGGATAAAAGTTTAATTCGAAATTTAGAATGTCTATAAAATGGTAACGCATTGTGTAAATAGCCTGTGTTTGCAACAAACTTATCATCCTCGAATCAGTTTTAATTTATTTCGTGTTTTCGGTTGTTTAAAGAAGTTTCAGTATCCTGATTAATTGACAATAACTTAAACAGAGGCGCTCAGAAATTTACTGACTAAAGGTTTGTTTATTTTACTTCAGCATTCAATAATAAAGCCCATCAATCAAGTAACTAACCAAAGTTTTGTTTATTAGATATTTTGTTCACTGTTACTTACAAATGCAATTTTTTTTATATTCTCTAAAGTTTTCACCTTACATTTTTTCTGAAAAGCAAAGCACTACCCTTTATTATTAATCAGCTAAAATAAAACGAAATTATTGATACCTGTCGCATCATTGAGTAATAAGAAGCGTTTGTTTACCTTTGAAAAAAAATAGTTGGTAGTCACTGTTCAGGAATATTATTTTATTTTCTGCAACAAAACATTTCAGTTTTGATGCAATGCTCCACTTATTTTACATTTAAAATCAAACCGTTCTATAAGGCGTATATACTAGGATATATATATATATATATATATATATATATATATATATATATACTAGGATAAATAAAACAATAATAATAATTATTTTAACGGTAGTTTCGCCGTTTGGTGTTTTATAAGAATAACTGCTTATATGGAATTTATAGTTTTATTTGGGACGATTCAAAGTTAATTTGTGACTGGCGAAACTATGGCTAATGACAAAATATAGTAACTTTAACTTTATATCACGCAGACGATCAGAAAAAAAATTCATTTTTAAATATGAAACTTAAACTATATTTGCTTGATGAGTGAAATTCGACTAGTTCAAAGCTTAAACTGTGTTCATTGTTTTACAAACTCAAACTACAGTGATTTAAGAAACCAGTAATAACTAGGCAAGTAAGTTTTCTGTTATTGTCAATCGAATCTTCAATGGAAGTGACTCAGTCCGACACATTCTCAACTATGACACAAGTTGCTTGGTGATAATATCTGTGGCTGTCACTTCTGAATGCTAAATATAAGTATATATATTTATATATGCTGACCATCAACTGTGAAGCAGCAAGCCAGCACCTCAAATCGAAATCGGTTACTTTAACTAAAACATTAATATTTTGTAATTAAAAATTGAATGTAAGGCCATTTTTCATAGATCTTTCTATGGTTAACTTATGACCTAAACATAGTTTCAATGACGATCTGCAATAATGATTTAATTTGGATGTAACTTTTATATCTTACTTATTTGGTAATCACTTAAGTCAACATAACTTTACAAATCGCTTGCACTGACATTAAGGTGTAAGTAGGTAAGAATGTTGATTGATGTCGCAAAAAACACTTGAAACAACACAAATGTCTATTTCGGTACAGCTCTTAAGCGTTATACATTTTCGCGTGATTACGGTTGTTTACATCTTGAAAATGAATAATTTAATAGTTGTATAATATTTGAAAACCATCACATTATCGCATTATTGCTAAGATAAAATTGTATTCCGATAGAATTTAAAGTATGCGCCATCATGTCCAGCTTACATGGTCCATCCTACTTTTTGGATAAACGGATTAATTTATCCGTTTCGAGTCATTAATCACACATCCTATAAACCCTATTAATTATCCTCCTATAAACATGCATGTTTTTGCATGTACATGTGTGTGTGCATTATTTACTTCACTTATCACACGTTTAGTTAATTTTTGTCTGACTATAAATTGTAAGTCATACCTGATCAAATACAGTTGGCCTGTTCGTCTTCACTTCATCCTACTTCGCTTCACTTTTATGCTTCTCGTTATTTTCTGTTCGCAAACGCGAATGCATCAAATAAATTCATCCGATTAGAACGTTGTTAGGCTTCTCATTTACCTCCTTCACAAAAACGAGGTTAGTCACAAATTAATACACAGACATTAGTGAGAATATTTTCATTAGCATATATAATCGTTCATTCAAAGTGGATTCAAATCTCAGGTCGCTAAAAAGATATTCTATTTATAATGCTTACAATCAAAATTATCATACAAAAGAATTTTTGAGGTAATTAAATGGCTTTTATACTAAACAGAACTAGATCCTTTGTCCACTACATTTGAATGTGTTCTGATCAAAGACAAAAATTGAAGGCACGCATCGGATAAAAGAATAAGCTTACACGATTATTTTCAAATCACACGACTTTTCAAAAAAGAAAAAAGAGTTTACTATATCAAATATTGACATACCAAAGAATAGATTGTCAAAAATAAATCATTATGGACGTTGATAAACATTGTGTTAGTAAAGGCAAATTAACATGAACAAACTAACATATTTACAGTGAAATGATTACATTTTTTTTTCGAAAAAAAGTTCGTACATAAAAGATTAAATATTTTGAAAAAAAAGTCGCCATTACAATATGTTATGTTAGATCAGTACGGATTGCCATAGATTCTATTTTGAAGTCCAGTACTATTGTATACGTGTTTTATAGGAAAATATCAATATATTTAAATGTCATTGCATATTGATTAGACAGATAGATAGATAGATATGGAATGTGAATTATTTTGTTTTCGCTTGAAATATTTTGTCACGAAAACTGTTTTTTGAAAAACTTGGTCACAAAAATACTAGACTTAACACATTCCACAAATCAACGATAGGTCAACTAAACAATTTGTTTATTCAATTTTGGGTTTATGCCATTTCAAGCTTCTAAGTAGAATTATGTAAATTTTGTTTTTTTTTTAATTTCCGCCGTGATTATGTTTATTATTCTATTTCTCTGTAAGCGCGCGAAGTAAATAACCATCAAATCTGTTTGTTTTTTTGTTTTTTTTATAAAAAAAAGACAGGAATTTTAAAGATGTATTATATTTTTTAGTTAAGTTTTATCTAATACCATATGTTCTGTTACATTTTATTAAAATTTAGAGTTGTTCATTAAGACATTTTTAATAATGACATTTGTTCAAATGTGTTGTTTTGACTACTAATTACCTACAAATGATGACTATTAGTATGTTAATCTATCATGTTCAAACTGTGAATGATTAACTGATTTTCCCTTGCAAGAAATGAAACATTCACGTGATTGATAAAAATTTTCCAAAACAACGAATTATGTTTAAAATTTATTTATTACATGAGCAATTTTAGAAGGGCCATGTTCAATGGATACTGATCAATGTTAAAGTAATATTAAACTGAATTCCTGAACTTTTGAGTGTATAAATTAATTATGGTAATTCAAAGTATGTGACTTATGTTCTTTGTGAGTTAGACACCGTTGGATGCTGTCCCATTGGCCCAGAGGTAGAGTGTTCGCTCACAATACCGAAGTTCCTGGGTTCGAGTCCTGCGAGTAACGGTAGTCATAGATGCGAACCACTGTCCAGTCCTTTTGGGTTTCTAATGGTGGTCTAACAATGATCGATTTATGATTTCGATGTGTAAAAACTGTGATAATTGAAAAGAAAAACTAACAGCATTGTAAAACAATTTATTCTAGGCAAATTATTTGTTAGTACCGTATCTCTCTTCTGGTTTGATTTAATACTAGGTGAATTTACCTTCCGTCACGTCATTCAATATCTTAAGTGCCTAAAACATTATGATCAGTTAATAATATCATCTATATTTTTGAGAATATTAAAAAATCAACTCATCACATTGTGATTAAATCCATGTAGACAAAATTCCGCTAAAAATACATTTAAATAATCTAAACTTCACTTGATGAAAAATTATCTCACAAATTTATTTCAAATGAGACCACAACCCTTTAATTCAAGTCACTACGTGTAAAGTCATGTCTGTGGACAAGATTGTACCTAAAAATCTAAGGCTGTTTATAACAAGAGTCTGTACATAAAGTATAAAACTTACTAATGTGCACATTCGATTAAAAGTTATTTTCTAAACTTTATAATATCTTTTCTTGAATTTTCATGGAAGTTTAAAGAAATTTTTGTGAAATTTCTTCGATAATATTTTACAGAATACTTACTAAACAAATACAGTGAATTACCTGGAGAAATCATATCATTTGAATTACCTTTGAGTAGTTTGACTGTCGAACCATCACATTATAAAAATGTGAATTTAGGTTTAAAACTTGCCGGGAGCAGGGATTTAAATCAAATGAGTGTTTTCGTGTGTGGAATACAACCAGGAAGCATCATTGAACGGGATGGACATATAGAAATTGGTGATCAGTTATTAGAAGTAAGTGATAATAAAACATTTGTATTATTAAATAACACATATTTAAGACTGAATCAATATACGTACTTTGCTTTGTGTGCAACAATTAACTAATAGTAAGTTTATAAAGTCACTTCAAGAGATATAACCTATTTGTTGAATAGACTGATAAAGGTTGATGTTCTTTTGTTCAATGTTAGCGAATACCTCATAACCTATGGACACAGAAAAATTGACTAAGTTTTAGAACAAAAATATTGATTGTTTCTACCTGCAGTTAATTCTAAACGTACGTTTTATCACCACAATAATTGCGTAGTTTGTGTCTGCTGTCTTTCTTAACCACCCAAGTAATTTTTATGGCGAAACGATTAACAAAACCTAACTAACTCATGTCTCCAGAATGCAAAGGTAAACTGGGACATAATTTTGGAAATAATGTCTCAATCGTTTTTCCCCATTAATCGTTTATGCAAATAGAATGATGTCTTACTATTCCAGGTACGTTTAAAACGAAATTCATTTGAATCTGACAATTAAAAAGCTACAGTGATATGTAAGTCAAAGGTTATTACCCTAAACCGAAGTCTAAAATCTTTATAATCTTAAACTTTTTAAGCAAGATTTCATCACGTTGAATAATTAAAGGTAGTGTTTACATGACTGTTTACTCAGGATCTTGATTTACCATCCTCTGGCTAATTTAAAGCATGCTCTTCAAATGTAATTTCAGCAAATCTATTCTCCCCTTGACTTACTTCGTCACATGAAATTTCTTAATTATTCATTTTGAAGGATAAGGTCAGACAGACTTTTCTAAATTCCCTTATCAACTAAAAATGAAATATACTACAATCACGTTCGACTGAATTTCAACAGAGTGAACTTCAAACATCTACCTTTGCAAAGACAGTTAAATCAGTATTTCCGAACATAAGCCTGTAGTTTGCATATGCTTCAGCTCATTGTCAAGCTAACTGTTTATTGTAATTATAGGATAGTGAAGATTTTTAATTTTTATTAAAATGACGGATCGATCAATATTAAAATACCATTAGAAAGCTGGAAGTACTAAACGACCGTCTCGTCCTAGTGTGGAACTCATCGGCAGTGAGCATTCACGAACCCACGGGTAAAATTCAAACCCGGGAACTTCGGTTTCGCTGACGAATGCTTAACCTTTTGATTACCAAGCCAGCATCTAATGGTTTTAGTTTATAACATCAATCAGTTTGAAATACTAAGTGACCTCATTCCTACTCTTCAGTGGGTTGATTCATCGCACCGGACTGGCTGAATTTCGAACGTTCAGGGTTTCAATAAACCTGTTTATTTTAGCAAATGATGGGATGAGATGACTCAGTCAAGAATTTATTATCTTTAAATCCATTAGCTTATTTTTATCATCAATAAATTCTTACAACAGACAAACATCATTTGGATTTACGAGTAAAACGATACATAAGAAGACAATATTCTTCTTCAAACTATAATAGTAATTAGTTCAGTATTCTTCATTATGATTCAAAGTATAAATTATTAATTAGACGGAAAATCATTAGAAATTCAAGGAGGTAAAGGCAAATATTCTTTTGCGCCGCTAGTCAAGAGAATGTCTAGAAAGTGAATGTGAGATATTATATTACGTTAAATTCGTTGTAAAGGTATTTCTGAAAGGAACATAATTATCGAATCAAGTTTGTAAAAATGTGCTCTGATAAGTTGAGACCATACAAATGCATTGAACACCAAAACACAACTTGTAAGCATCGCCATTTATTTTTCAGTTAATATTTTCCCCATGTTAATCCATGTATTAAACATAACAAACTCTGCAAAGACCATTAATTCGTAATAAAATGTCCCAGGGAAAAATTCCATCTTTTATTTTAGATTATTAAATAATCCAATGATTTCATCATTACTCTTCTGAGGTAGCTAATAAATCCTGCAGTCGCTGGATGCATCTATTCAAATCCAAACTTAAACAGATTGATATTCGGGTTTCAAATTGTTATGCTCGTTACTTGATATGCTTGTGACTATTACTAGTTCACCTCGGTCAATAAACAAGAACGAGACAATTACCCAGTGACACGGTAGGCTACTCTGATACGTTGCCCCAACTAACTGAAGAAAAAGTCTTGGTATGGCGTAGAAGTACAGTGACCTCAAACACACAAATTGCGTGTACACATACATCATAGGAGAGTCCTTGGGAGAGTCACAAACGTAGCGTACTAAAATAATACATTAACCAATCACAGCCAAGGATTTTCCTGGTGAGAAATGCGATTTCAAGGTCAACTGATCAGCCCATTAATGAAATCCGAAATTAAGACATTTATTATGCGAGTTCTGGGAATTTAACGTCCTCAACACACAACTAACAACTATTAAGAAATTGAGATTATTTATTTCTTTCGTGATAAAGACATGCTAATATCATGAACGCATATTCTTCACTTGATGACTATTTCCCAGTTGATATGCTAGTAATTAAAAAAAACTATTTTGATGTTAATTGTGCCTGTAAAAAGTTTTTTCTAAAAGCTATAACTGTACAAAGTCCTTGTGCTTTCTTGTGAACGCATGTCGTTGATGTCAATCAATTCAACAGTAAGCTTAGCCGCTTCTTTGTGCATTTCAAAATCAACCAGTTTTATGTAAACTTTAAGTGAATTAAAAGTGTCAATAACGCATACAAATAGCAATATAAGATGAATTCATTAACACTGAAAATGATTTTACACCAAAACGACAAGCCAAAGGATGAAATTTGAAATGATGAAGTTTCTCAAGAGTAAACACTAAAATTTCATCCTATTGACAAACAAAATCTTCGTTAATATTAAAATAAAAACAAACTTTTCAACATAAAGCTTAATAGATTTAAAAACCCGATACCAACATTGTAAAATAAGTAACACAGTACAACTAAACTTGATCTGTTATAAAACGTTGATATGGTAAATGTAACAAATATATATATATATATATATATATATATATATATATATATACTCTGTAAATACAGAATTCATTCTACGTTAGAATAGTAATAATTTAGGCACCTATTCATCACTACCTTATTTTGTGAGGGAACTTTTTGTTTAAAATCAATAAAATTGATCACCTCCGATCTGCATTATCAGTATTCTGTTATGTGTCTGTCAAACCCATGAATCTTACTGAATAATTCATTAAACTGACACAACCATTTTCCTCAAGTTTACTGTCTTACTAATCCTATTTAGAGAAGTAAGCAATGTATATGGAACAAAACCCAAACTAGTTGAATAAGTGAAATCAATAATAAATGATGTTGAAATCATTTAAATTATGAGCAAGATGTTTTGAATCTTTAAAATTGATTTTGGTTTGGAGCTAAACCTTAATTAATGATATAGGCAATAGGCCATTTGAAGAAAACATCACACTGATTGAATAAACAAAATTCAAGACAATTTAAATAACATTTGAAAAATTCGAATCTACGGTAGATTATAATTAATTCATTCTATAATTATAATATGCACAAGTTAATAAGAATGGGAATAAAACTTTTACAATGTATCCACATCATTACCTGCGCTGATAATTAAAAGGTTTCATAAACATGGTGATCTCTTGAAATAGTTTTTATGCACAGAATTAAAACACTGACTACTCACAGATTTGTTAAAGGTAATACTTATGGAAATTAAAGGTTTCAATATTCTCTCTGGCAAATCAGTTCAAGTTTTTAAGGAACTAATCGAAATTCATTTGATTATAATTGAACAGAAGTTTATAATTTAAAATTATTTTGACCTCATTCATTTTTTCCAATTTTGGTTTTGATTAGTTTTCTGTGAAGAAGCTTGGAATAAAGTTCAGAGAAAAAGAATTTTGATTATACACATTTCGAAATAGTTTTATATTCGTTTTCTTCTACTACAATCTGTGCTTAATATTTCGCAAAACTCTTCATTCGAAAATTGACCATTTCAGATTGGATTACCAATGAAAACGTTATCTTCATCTTTTGATTTAGCTTAAGTTCTTAGGTAGTCTCAGTCAATTTTCACCACAGATTGCAATCAGCTATAACAATACTGAAAATCAAGAAGAATTTGATTGTTTTTTTTCTATAATAGGATCTCTCTTTAGCGGTGTACATTAAATATTCCAGTTATATATTACATGTACAACCTACAGATGTTCAAGATAATAGGAGACCTTCATTATTTAGATACAATAATTTATTATTTCATGTTCACACTTCGAGTTATTTCGCTACTAAGAGTCTACTTCACTATTTATTTCTGTTATCAAAATAAAATTCACATCGTTAAAACATTATTGTATATTGCTTTTACAAGATTTTAAACACAAGAGAATAAATAAACTTATTTGCTTACATAAAAAAGCATGTGAAAATCATAATACTCATTACTTTCAAGATTTCTATTCAGTATAATTCGTTCATTTTTAGCAAGCGTCGTTAGCCCACATTGTATACTAAACAGTCTAAAATGACTGATTCATAGGGACACTATCGTATTACACATAATTCCAAATCTATTGTAAGATATCATTGCATAATGGTTTATATGCACCTTTATTGACCACAAGCAGGACGTTATAAAACTGTGATTTACTGGGAATTACATGAAAATGGTGATTGTATTTATAAATGACATCCAAATTCATGTTTCCATTTCAGCTCAATAATCAAGTTTTATACGGTCTAAGTCATTTGAATGCTGCTCCACTAATCAGATCTATTTATATGGAAGTGATAGGAAGAAGCAGCAATATTTTCAGACGTTCAAAGTGTAATGCGTTGAGGTTTGTAATTCAACGCCATCCGTCAAACACGAATCTTATGGCAGCTTTGGCAACAAATCAACATATTGATGTGAGTGATTCTTATGTGCTGAATGAATTACTTCTCTTTTACAATGGTCGTTTCTACGACACGACTGTGTGTCATTTTTACCAAGAAAGCCTGTTTTTTATTGGAAGCCAATGTTTTAATTAATGTACTCGATTTTCAAGTTTTTTTCGGTTATATTCATGGAGACTGGGTTTCAAATGGGAGTTCTTGTAGCCACATTTAAAAATCTATTTAGGATGAAAATACTGATAACATTAGCAGGAATTCAGACTCTGCACATAAACACATTTCTTTGCACTTATGAATATGGAGCTTTTTAATTGTCTTCACTGGATGGTTTTAAATTTTAGAAATCAGTTACATAGATCTGTCGACTCATTTTACCTTACTTCAATCAATTCTGATAAATAAAAGTTATGCAGATATTATATATCAAAGCGGATTTTTATTACATTGCTCTTCTATTCAAAAACATCCATGTGGGATATATTGATCTATTTAATAAGTCAGAGTAGTTTTAATCCTCTGTGCGGTAATATTCTTATCGATTCATAGAAGTAAAAGATTTTTTTTCTAAAAACGGAAATTACTAACCTTACCACTATTCGAATACTTCATTATTGTTATAAAACTATTCATTGATCCTACGTTATACAATTTTTTTGAAATACATAATTATATTATCGTTTTTATTCAAGCGAATGAAGTGTATGCAATTTACATATGTAAAAACTAACGCCCAAGCTTTCAAATATTAATCTTTAGTACACGCAACCAGATCAGACTTGAAAGCTGATTTACAGGTTACTAAAATAAATAATCAAACTTAACTGTTTATAAAAATTGATACTTCTGACAAGTTTTCTCAGTTTTGATTGAATGTTTTCGCAATTATTTATAAAAACTGAATAACAGTTTTTAAAAAAACAACAACAACTACATTACACTGACACTAAGATAAACAAATCTGTTCACTTTATCAAGTGAACATGAAGCTGATGTTAAAGAAATTATGCAATAAATAGTTTAAGCGCTTTGATAGGAAAAATTCAAATTATGCATATTTTTTTTTCTATTCTTTTCAACAGTCTTCGTCAGATCGATCGAGCCGACATACCAGTGTCGATACAACAACAAGTGCACTACCATCACCAGTGAAGAACACGAATAAAGCAAAACAATCGATAGAATTTATGAATTTAGCATTTGGTGGCTCACATGGACCTTTAACTCAACAAACATACTCAACCACGTTATATCGTGTAAGATGTTAGGTGTTAATTAATTGTTTATGATTTAGTGACAGATTTGATCAGTACCTATTCTTTTCGTTTTCTATATTGTAACTAAGAAAAGCTGAAACTAACTAACAAATGCTCTTGAAAAAGAGAGTAAGTAGACTTTGAAGACAAAGATCTCTTGTAATTAAATGTACCTGATGGATTTTAAAAATTTAATAGCAGTTATCAGCTGTTTTTACCATATTCTTTCGTGATATATCATCCAGTGTACATTTAAGATCATATAAGGTATTAGGTTGCACTATCATTGGGCTTAATAATACTTCATTTGTGTCACACTTTCATCAGGTGATATTCCCAATAGGTTTCGAAGGAAAGATCAAACTACTGATTACATGACTGGAGGAAGTAGTCTGAATAGACCGAAAAGCAATACTTTTATAGAAAATAAAATCTTTTTTGCATCTATACAAAAGTAGGAGTTATTGAATGCTTCGTTTTATGACAGTTTTTATCACCATTAATTTAAGTTTGATGCATAAGTGATAGATAAATGAAGAAAGTGATTAAAATATTCCTACTTTATTAGCATTGTAATGTAAGCGAATTTATATTCGCAGCCAAAATATCATCAAACTCTGATGAAAGACATGTAATTCTCACACGATAAGTAACCTTTAGAAACCTATAGAAAAAGCAAATTTATTCAGGCGACATTTCATACACTATCATGTATCTCAGTTTCGGCAAACTCAATCTGATTAATTTTCGATAAAGTATCATTGGAAACCAATATAACATGTTATAAGTTTCTAAACGGAAGAAAGAAAATATTTATAATGAAATATTGTTTTACTACTTTCATACTTATGCCTGTTACCCCTAATGGAGCATAGGTCATCCACCAGCCTTTTCCAACCCACTCTGTCCTAAGCCTTCTTTTCCAGTTCTATCCAGTTACTGTTCTTTGTTTTCATCTCTTTTACTCATTCTCGGCGTAATGTGTTCTTTGATATTCCTTTTTTCCTTTGGCTTTGAGGATTCCAAGTTAGGGCTTGTCTTGTGACGCAGTTGGGTGCTTTCTTCAATGTAAGTCTTATCAAGCTCCAAAGCTCCCTATTGATTTCTCCCTTTTCTGGAATCTGGAGTTTTTCTGTCCAGTAGTAAGTTACCACTGGTGGTGTCTGGTCAACGAATGGGTAGTATATTGCAAGGACAACTGTTAATAAATACTTGTATCTTCTAACTGATGGCTTTTGTGGTACTCCTAGTTTCCATGAAATATCGTTTTTCACATGGATGCGAATTATCATCAAAATTCCATGTTATAAAACACATACTCAAAAAAACCTTAAAGCAGAAAATTATTGATCTCGAAATTTGTTTAGATCTTGAAATGCTGACAAATTCTTTTCTATTTAGATATGAGAGATTTACTTTTGTTTAAAAAAATGCAGTACCCCATACTTCAATCAAATCAAAGTTAACACTTTGTTCGTTCATAATTTGAAAAAACTAGGCCTTTACGGATGTGTAAGAATGGAATGTGCTCACTAGTGGCTAGTTTCGAGACAGAAGTGAAGTTCAACCGTGTTAGATTTAAAGCAGTTACCCATTTAAGGCAAGGGATAGTGGTCGCGCAATATCGTAGATTGATTGACGTAAGACATTAACACCAATGGAAGTTGACTACGTGTGTAAATGAGGCTGGAGGTTCTGTGTTAGAGTTATGGATGCAACCTGCTGGAGATGAAACGGCTGTCTAATGTTTCAACTTTTTAACAGTTGTCTAACATTGTCTGAATGAAACTCAGTAATCTCCACAACCCTATACTGAGAATTAAATTTATTCAGTAAGATTCCTTTAAATGTAATCAAACTCATTATTGTTATTATTATTCTGTTCAAAAAATATTCTGAAATTCTCCTTACTCATATAAATATATATATAAATATAAATTCATTAGCGTAGGGAGATATTTTCAGGGAAATTGTTGGAAGACAAAAATGGTTCTTATTTTCAGTTAATTATCTTCTACATGATTCACTCATGAAATTTCGAATCTAACTTAAACGTCTGATCTATGCTGAGTTAAATCATTTACTGTAAAATATGGGACACAGATCCCTTCGTGTACAAACATTTCATGATTCACTACGCTTCACATGTATATGTTATCGTAAATTTCGCAGATATAAAGTTGCAGCCAAAAGTTCGTTGACTGATAGACGTTAGTATTTCTTAATATTTTTGATCAGGGTTCGAAGGGATTTGGATTTGCAATAATGGAACGAAGTGCAACAAATGAAGAAGGGATTTATGTCAAGCAGATTATTGAAGGTGGTCCTGCTGATAAGGTATGCTTTATTAAAAGTTATGTGCATGTTTCTGATTTCAGTTGGTCAAAATTAAACTAATACTACTTGATAACCGGCACATCATATCTAATCTCTATAATATTCTTCAGGTGCCAAAATAAGTGACAACTGCTAGCAATATAGAGAACGTTTTTCACAATAGTAGACAGTAAGCCATAGATTTAGCAGAAAATGACACAAATAACAATCTATTCAGAGATAAATTGTTTTTTTCCAAAACGTGAATACGTATATATAGTTCATACTTTGATGGACAGATGGTTTCACTTATATCATCATTTTGAGAATATTGATTCAAAAATTAATAAAGCAATTTAATTAAAATTATTTAACTATATAAATTAAAATCATTTATTGTTATTTGATTTGCCTCTATAACAATGCAGTGCTCTCATTTGATGTAAATATGATTCACACAGTAACATTTAAATTCATATTATTACAATCGAACACAGTTTTGTATTTGACAATTAAATTTTTGATATTTGCAAAAAAGCAGGATTTCACTGAAATGTCACGTGAATACATTACAAATTGCCGATCTTTAATGTAGGTATGAATTTATTGTATTAAAGGTACTCAAAGTTAAAAAAGTTGAAATAACACACGCAACGTCCAGTTGCTTGATAATTTCACAAAAATCCTCTTACTATAATTTTATTCGTTACACCGCTCCAAAAAATACCATTTCTTTTAAAAAAATCAAATTTCATCCAGTAGTATTAATGATTAAAGATAGTCAAAGAAATCATTTTAATAAATCTGTCAAAGTGTATGATCATTTCAAAATAAAACACGAAATAAGACTGTCAGCAGCGCCGCCAGTCTAATAACAATCTAGATCATTATGTTGTGCTATGCATTACTTAGTATACAAGCTCTAATTCTTGCTAGTTTTTGAATTACATTTCATTTTATAAGTTGATATGCCAAATCATTCGGAGTTCGACTAACCGAATGACAGATTTCTATTACTACTTGTGACTACTAACTAATCAATCAATGATGCTTTGAACATACGTAGAAAAAAACAAAAATTTAACAGATATAATTCGCATATCTAAAACTAGTTAAATTCATATTAGATTGGGAAGTCTACTTTTTAAACATTTCAATAATAGGTTTATGATTTTGCTAAATATTAGTCTCAAATATTTCTTAGTACCTTGAGCCAAGAACATAACTCTCGATCAGCTGTGAAAGACAATTCAAAAAAGGGTTTAGCGTATAACAGTCACATAAAAAGTTGTTAACAGGTAATACTTTGTCGGGACCGTTTGTTTTGGTCAATTTGTTAGTGCCGCCAAAATTAAAAAAAGATAAATATTTGTTTTTACAATCTAGAATTCATTATTAATAGACAATAATTAATAATTTAGAATCCGACAACTTCTAAGTGTTGATTTTTTTAATACACTTGAATAAGTAATAATATGAATTATGTAGTTTTTTTTAAAAAAAAACATTATGTTGCTATAATTTGCTTTGCATATTTTAAGGATGGCGTTTTATGTGCTGGTGACCAGTTAGTTAAAATAAACAAAAAAGATGTGACACATGTATCTTACGATACGGTGGTAGAATGGATACGATCTGCAAAACATGTTGTAAGTTCAATGTATGTTCAATTTTTTGAAATGGAAACATTGATTTCTTTTTGACTTGATTACTTCTTAATCGATTATTCATCAGCATAACGTGAAGCCATGTACAAAAAAACATTAACCGAAGTAGCAATCATATAAATCATAGATTATTTCTATTATACATTGAAATATTCTTACAGTATCCTGAAAAATGAAATAATTTTCAATGATTACAAGTATAATATTTGAATCCTGATTATGTTTATCAGTTTGATATTTGGTACAAAGTAAAAAAAAGTATTCGCCTCTTTGTGTCTTTTGTTTTATAAGCCTAGAAGTGATTGCAAAAATTCTATAATATATCTTATTACTTTACTATTAGTGGATAATCTCGGGTTTCAGAAATATTGTAATGGAACTTTAAAAATTACTATCTGATAGAAGAAAAAAAACAGAGGCATCTAGTGAAATATTCTAACGAAATCCCGAACTTTAATACAGAAAACATCGATCTCAATTTTAATGATTGCTAAACATACTTGATTGTTAAATAACCTTTAACCGTACAACTCATAATTAAACATTTTTGGTATATTTTTTGTGTGAAAGCAACTGAAATTAATTGGCAAACAAAAGAGATTGAACAAGATTATACTTCGATCATGTTTGTTTCAGCGGCAAAAGAATATAAAATTATTCTCAATTCTTCTCAATAAAGCATTCTTTTCCAAGTTTATTTATTAATTCAGAAATCAACTATGCTGTTTATTACATTATCACAGGGATCACCACTACTGTTTAAGTATCATTTTAAATCAGGTGTCTTCTATTTGAATCGGTAATCCACAAGAATAAGTATGGTATGTAGCATTTAATGTGTCCTACAGATGTACTTCTAGAATTGTAAAGGCAATATTGGCGAGCACAGAGTCTGTGGGAAAGCTATAGTCAAAAAGAAGGCCAATTTAGTTTTAAACTTTATCTGGTTCTAAACATAAAAACAATTAGATTAGTGCAACAAATAAGGAAATTACAGTTATCAAGTGAAACGAGCAAACATGCCGACAATATAGCGTGTCTTATGGAAATGAATAAAACTATGAGTCACATCAATGTAATTAGATAATAATGTCCTTCAATTAGTAGGTCATTTACAACGATGAAAGGTTACGGGCACGTCAGACCAGATCAGGTGGTGAACGCTTAAACTACAATTTGATTGGTTAGTTATAGCATAACAACATTTAGTTATGAAACTAACTAACAAGGTATTCGGGTGATAGTTAATAACCTATGGTTTTATCAAGATGAATATTGTAGTTCATGTGGTCATACAAATCACAACTAGACAGTAACTTAGCAATGGCCTGAGAAGAGGATTACGTTTTATTTCCAGCTTAGTGTTTTAGAGTTATCATCCTCACTATAAAAATTAAACACTCCACATTTAATCCAGTTTTCGATAGGAGGTAATCACAGACAAATGTAATTTGACGCCAAATATATATAAGTGTATTGAATCCACTTTGACTTCTGTTTTAATCTTATTTACCTTTAGCTTCAAGTACAAGTTACACGGTGGGGTTTCAGTACACAAACGAGTACAGAAACAAAGCCATCAACTAAACGTTTCTCAGATCCATCTGTACTAAATTCATTTGCATCTATTATATTTGGTAAAGATAATGAAATTAAACATTCTCCAGTGGATACATGTCGAGAATTAATTAACACAAAAACTTTAAACCTACTCTCCTCAATTGAAAGTGGTAAGTGATGATTACTTTTCAGCATGAAACCTTAACTTGAAAACCTTTTATATGATTTTAAATAAAACTATTATGATTAGAACAAGTTAACATCATACTTTTCAATTATTTTCTTGAGAATTTAAACACAAATTATTTTTTATGTTGATAGAAGCATAAACTACAACCATGATAATATTTTCTCTTGGTTGACTAGCAATATAAATCTAAATTTTGATCATGAATTAGCAATATCTGTAGTTTCCATAAAATCACACTAGAACATATTGTAATTGAAAGGTTAATGGATAAAAACCTGATCAGTAATGCAATTTTGTATCATTGTATTTACTGTAATTTAAATTCCCATGTTTTAATTTCTACTGCATATGAAGTTTGCATTACAGATAAAAAAGAATGACAAACCTGTTTTTTCTGAAGTTTTCAATATGTCTCGGCACAGATTATCTGTCTTGAACAAAAAATATATTTCACTAAAAGAGAGCAAGTTTTGTGGTGAAATCATGAAAGTACCTTTAGGTTTTAGTCGTTTGAAGAGGTCTAATGGTGCATGTTATCTCATTTTATTCATTTTATTTTGACTGAAACAGTACTAAGTATCCATACAAACTTACATGATAACCGCCTGAAAGATTGACTTTAGTGTTTTAGAATGATAATTAAATTATGTTTTCTAGCTTTGTTCAATTTTTATTTATCGGTTAAAGTCCGTTCAATCCATCTAATTCACAATCCATTTTTCATAAACTAAACTTATTCATTACAGATCTGATTGATTTCAAACAGCCACACAGCTGTATTGACTACTACTAATAGAAATTCAGTAAAATAGTTACTTTACTGCTATTCATTTTTGTCCGTTTTTATTTTACGTCATTTATTCACCTTTTAAAAGAATTCCGTAAACATCAGGCTTTTGCAAAAACAAATGAACATAAACTATCAGTAGGTTGATGTTGAAAAGATTTGTTTTTCTAAAACACTGACTCGAAAGTCTCTCGGTCAAAATGTGTGTTTTCAAGAAATAAATAATTAAATCGCTATATCTATTTAGACAAGTAAATGTCAAATTGAAGTGAAATGTTTCTTTCATGTTTACCTTTGGATAACAACTTCAAGGAATCATATGAATGAGAGTGTTTACGAATTTTCACATCTATTAGAAATCATCATCATCATTAAACGGCAACGTAGAACTATGCACGTAAGTACAGTAGTTCTAGTTGCCATACCACATTAGTGCAGAGATATAATGGTCAATTCAAATCCCATAGAAGTGGAGGTAGTTAAAGTACTAGAACTAATCGGATAGATGAGGGTTGGAAGATGTTTTTCAAGAAGTATAATTTAGAAAGAGAAAGATAGAGGTTAGAAAATTACTCAGCAAATCAAAGATTCTATTGAGCATAGTGCTATAACATTTCAAATATAAACAATGGAATCAAGAACAACAACAACAAAAACTCTCGAATATTCTTTGAATAATTTTGTTTAAAATTAATAGACGGGAATTTGTTCATTTTTCTCTTATTTGTTTAAACTGCTGGAAAATATAAAGGTACAAACTGGTTAATACCCAGTCAAATTGCATCAAAATACCGTCGGGCCAGTTCCCCACATATCAGTTATAAAAGAGAGCATATTCCTATGCCTGTGCTACAACCTTTGCCAAACTACTCAACAACCTCAATAAACCTACAAGGAGAAACGGTGAACTTCGATAAGATCTCAATCTTAATAAATGATGAACCAGAAATCGAAGCATCAATCCGTCCTATCAAGCCTGGAATTGAAACTGAAATATCAATAGTAATCAACAATTCGTGTGGTCTAGGAATAGGATGCATAGGTGGCTGTGAAACAGCATTGGTAAGTGTGCAAATGCTTTATTTTTCTCTTTTTTGCTTACATTTTATGCCTGTTATGCACTGAAAAAAAATAACTGACAGTTCAGTATAGCATGAATTTATATAGAAAAAAAATACCGTTAACATGATGTAATTTCATTCTACTTAGGATCTAAACTGGTCATTAAAAATTACACAGAAATATATGTTTTCCATTTTAGTAGTAATAGTAATAATAATAATTATAACATGTATACAGACAGAATAAACAGAATAACAAAATTAGTGTACAACATATTCTATGCATAATTCATAGACGAATTCATTCAAGTTTAGACAAAAAAAACTCTATTGGTAATGACAGAAGCAGGGAAATAAAATATTTTTTTTCTACTACAGAATAAAATAAATTTTTTCAGGTAAATAAAAAAAAATTTTAGGCTTGTTATACTTTTATGACGTAATTATAATTTTTCAAACCTTAACAACATAAGTTACATCCCTCAAAGTTTATTGAATCTTATTATAGACGTATTGATTTCAGATGTGTTCACTACAGTCTTAATCATGTGGTGATTAAAAGTTTGTTTTTGATAAATAAACTATTTTCTTTGTGCACATGTGATCTTAATAAGAAGTTAAGAATAAATGTTGAACACATAAATAACCAATAACGGGAATTCTTCATTTTTAATATATCATGTATACAATTAAAGTTTATGACGATAATTCTCTCAGCTCACTTTTCGAATACTTGAACTTGTTCCAACCAAACCATGTTTCAATTTTTTTTCTAGAAGAGAAAACGTAACTTTTGCTCATAATAACAGTTTACATTACCATATACTATGAGGCATAACTGCCAGCTAGCACTGTTAAATAAAACTAGATTTTTTTGACTCCCATCTCGTATAAATGAAAGTCCAAACTGAAATATTCCCACCTAATGGAACTTTACCTAATATTTGGTAAAGTATAAGCAGTGAACTACCGGAGAATTTCGACAACTAAAGTTATTCTTTTTGAAAAATTTTTTCTGTCCCATGAATTACTGCAGCAGTCAAAGCTATTACATGTATCATTTATTTCATACAGTTGTAAGCAACATATAAGGATTCGTTTTTTCCCAACTGGTTAATGTTTGCTGAATTTCAATTACAGAATAAGCAAAAAGGATTCTTTTTTCCTCCTGATATATTACGGTAGCTTAATTTAAAGCGCTTCACCTAATTATTTGGTGTTGTATCTGAATTTCTATGTGTACAATACATATTATTTTATAAATAATACTAGAGACTTCACGTGTGCCAAGAGAATCAATCTTATTATGTTGCAAACAGATCGCATTTCTTTTAAATTGAGATATGTTGATTAATTTTACTCTATGACTGATCTAATTTTAATATCCATATATTGTGAAAACGACATTTTTGATAGCCAATATTACTCTTCTCATTTACAGGATTCAAATCAATATCCTTGATTCTAGTCTCGAGCGATTTCACTTTATGACATAAATAAAGTCTAAACCGTACCAAAAGGTCTTCATTACGCTATGATCATATCCACTAACTTGAGACAGCAATAAAAGTCCTAGTGACTGAAACAGCTACACATCGATTTCAGTTTGTTTGTGATCCAATATTAATCCAGAATTCAAGTTAAAATTTACTAAAATTCAACTCAAATATTGAACACTAATCTAAAGTGTAAACTTTTATACTAATAATTATAAAATCACTATTTTTTTTTACAGAATATTCCAGTTATACATGAAATCTATCCTAATGGGGCAGCAGCAAAAGATGGACGTTTACGTCCAGGCGACCGAATTAGCAATGTCAATCAAACATCGTTAGTTGGTATGCCATTTTTGGAAGCAATGAATAAACTTCAAATGGCTTATATTAACAAATCGTCTATGATAAAGTTAGATTCAGATGATGAAAATGAAAATATTTCCTTGTCAAATCAAGAACAGTGTTATTTAAATCTCACCATATTTCGACCAACAGAACAAAGTCAAAAATGGTTTGATCAGGAAGTAGTAATTGAATTACTGAAGAAATCTGGTAAAGGTCTAGGGATTTGTATTGCTGATCGTTGTGTACATCTTAAATCAGATGAATATTTGTCAGAGAATGAAAATAATATAAAAGTACAGGATAGTTCTGATGTAAACACTTTTGAAACACAAACGTCATACGGTGTTATTATTACTGAAATAGTGAGTGTATTTCAGAATTAATCATAATTCTTATTTCATATTTTACTGTACAATCATTGATAGAAAAGTGGAAAACGGTTCTGAATAGCAATCATCAATGTGCATTGAGTATTATTGAAGTTGTGGAATGAACATATTGCCTGATTCTGAATTATTTGAACTATTACACTTCTGGACAATGAGTAATCGTGACTTACTTAGTTTTAAACATGATGGAGAAAATGAAACGTTTTTTTGTGGCAGTAGAAATCACTGCAACCCTGCAATTACTTTGTGACTAGTATGGAATAACGCGATGTTCATTATTATTTTTTATTCAGAATCTAATTAATTGGATGATAAAAACTTCGAAAACACTGTTATATGTATTTATAAATAATATAACATAACAAATATACTAGTTATGATAAAAATTTATTTCAAAGATAAATGAATGACTTCAAGCTATTTCGGTAGGCGTGTAAGGTTCGTTTATCCGTAATGTTTATATAGAATATTTCAGACTAAGATGTTAACGTGTTTGATATTAGTTTTACTGTTTCATGCAGATAAATGAAGTTAACTCCAAAGTAATCAGTCAGACCCTTCGAAACTGCTTTCCTATTTTCGATCAGTAGGAATGCAATTAAGGAAACAGCTCTATCTCATTTCGTACTTAATAGATTTAGAGATGATACTATTTATTTATTTATTTTATACTCTTAATCATAACCTAATCATCAGTATTTTGATAGTATGAATAAGCTAGCATAACCTATTCATTGATTATAAGAAATGCCTCCTCTACCTTCATTATTCCCTCTAGTCAGCTTTTCATGATATGAAAAAAGTTTACGAATTATACCTGTGACATTATGTTGTTGTACTAGATTAAAGGATCGGTTGCAGCAGCTGATGGTCGTCTCATGGTAAATGATCAAATTCTAGAAGTAAATGGTGAAGATACCAGCACATTAAGTAGTGAAATCGTTGGTGCTCTATTAAAGGTAATTGAATATATTATGATTTGATAAATGGAAATTTTTCATAATTGCTAATAAATAATAATGGTCAAGCGGATGGCTTGGCATTGCTTTGGTAAGTATTGTTAACAGTCCATATACAAAATTGGTTAGCAGGGCAACCGATTTCATTGAGATAGCTGGTTGTTTTGAAACATTTCCGAGGGCCCTTGTCATTGGGGTGCTGTATTACATATCAACATTGCTAATAATAATGAGTTTGCCAGTCATGTAAGCGGGATGGGCCGAAATGGCCTGTACATGCAGTGCATATTGATTGACGCGATCATGGATCGGAAATATATATACCAGTGTGTATATATAAATGGTGTAAATGGTCTACCAGAGTATCAGGTACCTGTGTGGTTGCACCAGAGGATTGACCCGAACTGTTCATGTAGTAATGGTAAAACGTGAACAGTCTCTTTGATTCTCCTGAAAACCAATGTAAAATTGCCCTTGACAATACAGGGTAAATTTATATAATTGTGAAAAATAAATTGTGTATTCATAGCATTATCATACTACTGAGTGGCAAGTTTAACATAGGTTTGACGTAATAAATATTATTATTCGATAGCAAAAAACAACCTTTATCTTTCGTAATCATCAGTGCAGGCTAAATCTCATTCAAGTTATTCATTTGGTAATAACTTTAATTACTATTTTTCAATTTATTTAGCACTCACAACATTGTCTATTGAATTGTAAAATCAAACTCTGAGTAACTAAACCAATCATCCAACCATTAAATATTTTATTGTTTTAATTTTAAGCACATGAAATATTTCCTTCTGAGATTCAATTTAGAATTTACGCATTATCTATACTAGAGCAACTGAATGTGTGTGAATATTGAAATGGCGTTTTTTTTATGAAGATTCATACTTCTAAAATCATTAGGTTTTTTTAGACAGTTGAAGGATACTTCAGTAAACTTACTTGTTAATAATGTCAGTAATAATTAAGAACTAATTGTGTAAAACATTTATAGACACTAAATCTACTGTGAAACTTACAGATGAAAGTTCTTTAAGTAGTAATTAATAAGTTAAAAATCTTTTAAAATAATACTTTTTCATAAATTAAAAATAACTATATTTTACTATTTCAGGCAGCTCCATATAAAGTTGTTCTCAAATTAGGAAGATTGAAAAATCAAATTGTTATACCTAATTCAGCTGCATTTCTTTTCAATGATCCTTATCAAGTAAGGCGATAGACTATACGTTAAACAAGTAAGTGTTTTATTGTTACTTCTCTCTTGAAGCTGTTGCATAGAGTTACCGATTTCGTTTAGTAAGTTACATAAAGAAACAAATCCAAACGCGATAGCGTTTGAAGTGAACGGTTTCGGGGTTCCAGTCGTGGAGATGGAGCCGCATCTAGCTGACGAGTTCTGAATTTCATGGTTAGACACTAAATCTGATTAAAATACAAATTCCGTTTAATAGAAATCTCCAATCATATATACTGAATTGCAAGTTCCTAAACTGATTTCTAAAACCATAGAAATCACAAGCAGGTATTTTTAGTAAACTTCTGTATAACAAGAAAATTATTTGTAACAGAATAATAAAATAAATCTATTTATTTTATAGATACGCTTGAATTATTTAAAAACTTATACAATTGACAATAGTTTTTGTGAAATTGCTTATGCTCCATTATTATCTGTAAAGAAATGTTCTGACTGAAATATGAGACAGCAAACACATAATAATTTGGGCTATAAAACAAAATGAATGTAGAAATTTGTAGGAATTACCCAAACGATTAATTACTGACACTAGTTTTTACTCCTAGTAAACTATCTAGTATTATTTCTTTTCATTCCACAATCATATAACTACTTGTCATCAATCAGCTTTATGAATTATTCATATGAATGCCCACAGTGTCCTATTTCCGATGAATTCACATTTGTGTTAGATTTTTCTTCATAGCTTAAATTCAATACTAAACAGTAAATGTGACAGAGAAGTACTTTTTTTTGATACATATTATAGTGCCTTTAAGTTGTGAGCAGATGAAGAGAATTGTCAAAGTAAATAAATACACTATTTTGTTACAATTAGTTTTCTTGTTCTACTTTAGTTAACATCATAGAATCTATAGTTACTGTTTATTTATAGATAAAGTCAATCAGCTTTCTGATAATCATTAGGCTCATATAATTCACAATTCCATAGACCACATTACATGAAACTCTCAAACTTACCACTTTCAAAATCAAATAAATTCATTTCATCTGTATGTATTGTGAAGATAAACATTTAATATGTACCGCTAGGATTCGATTAAGAGAAAAACCTACAAACTTCACTCTTATTAATAAGTTTAGATAATGAATATACTTTAAGAGATGTAAGAAAATGAAATAAACAAAGGTTATTTCATTGAAAATCATGTTTATAAAAAGTGTTGAGACTAATAACTTTACTATTCCTGCCATGCTAAGCGCTAATAAAAATAGCACAATGTATTAAAAATGATTAGAACTTAAACGAGAAAATAGATTCGCGTCAAAAGTAAGATAAAAAGTATTTGCTTTAAAATCACCACTTGTGACCACAGAAGTTGGATGTTGACAACCGATTCCACCAGGTGGCAGCTTGTTTCATAAACGTAGAAACAATTGAATTGCTTCATCGACTATGTATTAGAAAGGTATACAATGGATTTTTCTACTTGATACCTTGTTTTTAACTACATGACGCTAATTTCATCGCCTAAAGAAATTGGAACTTCAGTAAGTAGACTTTCTGGTGTATCCTACAAAAGATAACAACAACTTTTTTGCTTCATTTATCTAATGCTTTTATTAGCACATGTAAATAATTTTTGTCACAAGTATTTAAAGTAAGAATTTGGTTTAATAATTAATGGGAGGATGCATACTTTCTAGCTGAATATTTCCTGAGAATACTATCTAACCACGATTCTTTAGCCACATATTAAATGTTTCCTATTGTATGTTATTGTGTAAAAAGTTTTGAAACATGTCGATTTCGGTTTCGTATATTCTATTGTCAAACAGTATTACTGTGATGAGAATCTACATTATTAGTTAAATTGAGTATAAGATTTACTTTTTGTGGTATATTTTAATAATTTCCAATTCATGAGTGGATTCATGTAAATGTACACGTGCTCAAAGTTCTAATTTTTGTGGAAGAACACCATGTTGGTCATAATTTCGATGTAGGCTGTTTCTCTTAGAAGACGATATTAGCATGGTACATGCTCGTTAGGTCTTTTAGAAAGAGATTTAGAGTAAGATTATGGATCCGTCCAGTTACCTCGACTTTCTTCAAGGCCATACTAGTTTAAATGTGACTGGTATTTATCACAGCGATTATATAAATATATATATCTTCAGATTCCATTTTACAATGAATTGTTTTAATGTAAAATACACTTTTACCTGTTGTCTTTGTTATTTTGTCTGCATCGGGTTCAACTCTGTTAGTTTTGCCTGAAGTTGTAACGAGTCTATTGTCTTGAAGCTTACACTCCCGAAAGCCACCAGTGGCGTTTTGTTTAATTAAGTAGATCAAATCACAACATAGCTGAAGTTTTATCCATTATTTTGAAGTGTTTTGGACTTTCCAACGGCAATTAGTAGTTTTATGGTGTAGTGTTTAACACTTCTTGAACATTTTAAAGCAATGATTTGAAATTTTGGTATAATGTCTGATAATTTAGAACTATTCAACACTACCATCTGTTTGACAACTTTCCACTGAAGAAAAAGGTCATGATAATAATCGAATTCCTCAAAGAGGTCGTTTTTTTAAGTCGTTTTGACCATAACTAAACTTAACTGATAATGTTTGGTCCTTCTATGATTATTTTACTTAACTACAAAGCATCATTATACAAATCTCCATTGAATTTATTTTATTTAGGTAACCAACTTGACGTCTTCGGATAATGTAGAATGCCTATTTTTGATAACTGGATATCACGAATGAGAAATAACAACTATTCATTTGTTGTTATAATAAAAAAATTCACATATTCCTATGTTTAAAACCGATCTTCCATAATTCTCGTTTGTTTGTTTGTTTTTTTCGTTTTTTGAGACTTACTATTGCAATAAAAATAAATTTTTCGTAAGTGCAACATTCCACTACCTAGATTATTGATAATCTGGTATGAAAGCAGCTCAATTCACTTTCATTTCTTCTGTGTTTTTACCATATTTCAATTCATGCGGTGTATGAGACTGATTTTAAAATGAAACCAGCATGTTCATTGTCACTTTTTAGTTAACAATACCAAGCATTCTTCTTCATCTTCACGATTATTCAAATTGCACTAATAATCTTTTATAAATTGCACATATATTTTTTTTGCAATAATCTCACTGAAAAAAATGTAGCATTAAATTTTTGTATAGTAATAATAATAATAATTGCATAGCTTTTCGATACATTAGGACTATACTTTATAAAATATATATATACATTTATAGTGAATAGCTTTACATTCTTTTTGCCCATTCACAAGACATCTTCTATGCTATGCATTTTCTGCTTGCTCTAATCTCTTATTTTCATTTTCTCTAAATGAAAATCAGCTTGAATTATTTTATGTGACTAGTCTTGTCGCACAGTTATTACAAAGTGAAATAAACTAAATTAATATTCATGCGTAAACTGTAGAGACGAAATTTTATACTGTGCAAAAAATAAGCATATAACACATCAGTAATTTTATTTGTTTGCCTATTATTTTTTAAACTGAACTCTTTCATTCCGATAATCAAATATATATATATATATATATATATATATATATATACATATATATATATATATATATATATATACATATATATATATATATATATATCCATAAATATATTGAAATTTAATCAAAGAATACTATGTAGGTTGATGAAAAACACCAATGTGCAATGTATCAATTATGTTATCTGTTCGGATTCATTTGTGCACACAGACTTATTCACATGACTCTCTGGAACTAGTAAATTGCATTTTTTTTTGTTTCAATGTAAATTTTTTGGGTATTTTTTTTTCCTGTCACTTTTCTTCTTCTTCTTCATCTGTGTTTTAATTTTTTTTCTGTTTCTGAAGTCATAAACTGAACGAGAAAAGTCTTTCCATGAAATTAATCATAAAAGTTGCTTAAAATTTTGATCAGGGAAAATTTTTTTTTGGAACAATAGTATATACTACTTTATCTTGTTAATTTCTGTCTTGTTTTCGCTTGTCAAACTTCTCCCTTTCATTTCTTCCACTTGTTTGCCTATCAATGTGTTTCACTAATTTCGTAATGATAAATATGGAATTATTTTTGCGCTCATTCTTTTGTTTTGTTCATAGCAAACACATTTAACTTCATTAATTCATGTGAATGATAACTGATTAGTTTACAAAACAAATATACACATATTATAGTTCTATAGTGTTGATTAGTAAAGTAATAAAGACAAATTGTGTAATATTTTGTTTTGTTTTGTATGAAAAACATTAATTATAACGATTCGCTGAGACATGAACTATACAAGGAAAAAAATATTAGCACATGAAAATTCAAATGAGACTAAGGAATTATAAATGGGCGACAACGTAACTTGATGTGACAATTTAGGCATTATTAAGCTTATCATATAATACTACAATAGTAATCGAATAAGTTTAGCGAATTAACACTAACTTCTTCCTAGTTCTTCATAAATCTCTTACTGCCTAAATCGCTTTTAGAAGTACTAAGGTTGCACGTCTAAGGTTCGACAAAATGCAGAAAATAATAATATATGTAGGTTAATGTTAAAACTTTTGAACTAGTGATAATTGTTAATTATCCAAATAGGCTATAAAACATGAATAATCATTTTTTAGGAATTATTCAGCAAGTTTCTACTAAACACCTATCGGACAGTGTTTTCGGCCTGATTCCAACTTCTGAAGCCTTTCGTGAGTGATAACAATCTACAGTAATATATTTAGATGTTATTATTACAGTCCATTAATTTCCAAAACCAGCTTTATGAATATAAATGTTAGCTGCTGAAAATTAATATTCTGGTCAGTAATTATTGTTACATAAGAAATGCTCACATCAGAATAAATACAAAACGTATTAGATCAACTGAAAACTCTACAGGCATAAATGTACACCGAAAGTATTTCCTCACTGATGTAGTTTATCATAGCAAGTTGGTTTTCTAATATTCAAAAGATGCGGTCTACAATGTTGAACTTGAATTTCATTCAGTAAATAAAAATAGTTAATTCTTCCACATGGACTACTACAAGCCGAAAAGCATTTGAAAACCAAGGAACACTAGACAACTTTCTTTTGCTCACCGAATAAACCCATCATCGATCACGGCCAGAATCTTCCCTAACTCCGCTACCTTAATGAAAAAATATAAACTTCAGAAATTTATCGATCGGCCTTTGAAAGTGATGGAGCCCAAAAAGGACAAACAGCATGTCTAGCATCCCATTGCTAGCACACACTAAATTCACAGATCATTGTTTTAAAAATAAAATTAAGAAAAAAGCAAATGAAGTCGGTAAGCATTAATTAAACTTAAATGTCTCATCGAATATTACATCGTATATTCTATGACAACTTAAAAAAATTATACTTAAAGCATCGCTTAAATAACAAAAAACTCCTAGAAATTCCGTGAAAAAAATTCAGACTTATACTTCACTGTAAACTTCACTATACCGGTTGATAGCACTAAGTTGTAATACGTTTAAAACAACCCTGTTCACTTATGTGGTTTTATCTTCATGTGATAGTATTCTGCATTTATTATAGAGTGAAGAGTAGGTGGTTCAACATGTTTTTCTTCAATAGTGTTTCAATAAAATTCTTTCTCCGCTGAAGTCTGAAAACGACATAATCATTACACAGTATTTGCTACTACTACTGTCATTATTCCGTCTATAATGCTTTTTAGAAAAGATGCATTTTCGCCACTAGAATCTATTCTGAGCCGTCTTCCAAGGTCTCTAACCATCCGTTACGATTGTCTGGCGGACCCCAACTAGGTAGACTACACCTGATAACATATCTCAGCCCAGTTTTTAATGACTTCATGGATTTCTGCTATGTTTTAGGTAGTAGATAGTAACTACTAAGACAAGTGTATGATGTCGTGCAAAATAACTATATTGATCAGAGTTAGACATCAATACAGTCGGATGCTTGTCCACTGGTTCAGGAGTTAGGTGTTCGCACGCAAGACCGAATGTCCTGGGTTTGAATCCTGAGAGTGGCAGGAGTTCTGGAAGCGACAGTCCAGTACTTCTGGATTTCTAATGGTGGTTTAACGATGACTGACTCACATTATTAAGTGATCAACAACAATCTGCATAACTCTCTATTGAAAAATGAAAGCGTCAGATCCAAAAGCATGTAGATGAGGAAAATAAATAAGAATGGAGAAAATGAACAACCCTGACGAACACCACTGGACGTGATCAATTCCGATGCAGTTCATCATAAGCACTGACTGGACTAGTAGTATGCACGTAGAGAGCCTGTTCGAAGGTTATACATTTCCTCCACAGGCCTTTCAATGACTGACACTATCAGAGAACCTCACGATCAACTGAGTCAAATGCCACCTTTAATATAACTTTTGTGGGACGTCGAAATATGCGCGTGTTCTACGACCTGAAAGTGAGGGGATTTCCGGTCTATGCATCCATATTGAGGTCCAGAACAAACCTGACTTTCTCTGGTTTGCCATCCTCGAACTCCTGTTGGACGTTAAGGTTAATATCTTGGACTTTATAACTGATTCCTTCGCGAATATTACAAAAGGACTTTAGTTCTAATAAATTACAACGATTAGCCACCAACACAAAACAAATGGAATTACGCCTTGTTCTCAGATTCTATCTAACATTTTAGTTAACATAACAGCTAAAACTGATCACGATCCTTGGATATCTGAAGAGGTCAACCTATCAGGTCCTGCTGCACTTCCTCGCTTGAGATTGCCTATTCCCTACTCTACTTTGGGGAACCCACATCAACTTGTTATTCAGGTTGACTGGAGATGGTGTACAGTCGAGATGTTGCTGAAGGCTAGTTGGAGTACATCGTAAAGTGTTCTGTCTATCGATCCAACCTCCTGGATTAAGAATAAATAATAATCCCATTTTTCCCGTGAGAGTCTCGGTAACAGTAGGACTTATAAGTCTGAACAGTTGTCTACTGTTGCCTAACCCCACTGCCTTTTCCATCTGTTTCGCTTTCGTTAACCACCACTGTTCTCGATCATTGCTAGGCTTTCAATCAGCCTGAGTTTGGGTTGACTCTGCTCCTCATCATGTTTAGAGCCAGACGGAATGAGTTTCTGAGCATCTATCATTTCAGGAGAAGCTACTGAAACCAACTGATTTTTCTTAAAGTTACCCGCCACTAATACTACATCAGAGCACTTAGCTTTTCGGACGAGGTCCGAAAACTTTTTTTAAAACTCAACTCTTTTCTCGTCCTAGCCACAGTCGATGGGAATGTAGGCAGACACGCCAAACCACTGTATTAATGACCATCGAATGTTAGACACCCACCGTTCAAAAATAAGAAGACGGAAGACGTTGGAGAACACTTATTAATAGGATCAAAAATATACAATCAAACATGCGTATTTATACAATTATTCATATAATCGATATTGACGTTTAAATATTTGAATATTAAATCCAATAGTTCATCGATCGACTGCCCTTGAAATATGTAAGCATTTAATCGATAAGTTCATCAATCCACAATGTGCCTGGCTTTCTTCTCGATTGGCTGTCCCAACACCTCCCCGGAATAAGATTTTTTCTTGGGTCCACTTGTAGTCTTACGACTGGTTTGCGGCGGCGTTCCATTCTGGTTATAGTTTTTCGAGTTAATGTCTCCAACCTTCCCTTTTCTTCGGCATTCCGGGACAAATGTGTAGTTGTCGGTTCTGTGATCAACTCCAGGGGTAGATTCACGCGATTATCACCCGAAGGTGCCATTGTTTCGTCCCTTCGCAGTCGTTTCGTGTGTCTAACACAGCTTCCGAAAGCTCCTATGATTCGATACAAAACTCTTCCTAGTCTTTGGACGACTGTTCCTGGTTCCCATTGATTTTTACCCCGATATGTTTTTAGGAACACTTTATCGCCAACGTTGAAGCTGCGAATATTTTGATTTGGCCTGTATCTATTCGCTCTTTTAGGGGGCAACATCGCGTTAAAAATAGTCCGAATACGTCTTCCAAACATTGCTTCAGCTGGAGACTTCCCCTCTGGGACCGTATGGTTCGGAGTGCTTCTGTAAGCCGTTAAAAATCTCGTGATTACTTGGCTAGTTGTCCCCTCGTCTCCCCCTTTCAGTAAAGCTCTTTTGAAGGTGTCCACGAAGTGTTCAGCTTGTCCATTGGATTGGGGGTGGTAAGGTGGGGACCGTAGATGCGTTATGCCGTTTGAACTGCAGAATCGCGTGAATGAGTCGGCAACAAATTGTGATCCATTACCAGTTACCAATGTTTCTGGCACTCTGAAACAACTAAATAAGGTAGACAGCTTCTGAATAGTTTCTGAGGCTGTACAATTCGGCATGCTGTATATTTCTGGCCATTTTGTATACGCATCTACAATAAACATTTTACCTTGGATTGGGCCAGCGAAATCTGCATGAATTCTCTCCCAAGGTCCCGTAGGTTTCTGCCATTGTTGAGGCTCGCATTTCGAAGGGGTTTTTGCGGCTTGTATGCATGAAAGGCAGTTTCGGCATTTGGTTTCTATATCTTTATCCAT